CCATGGCAACGTAATCGCCTTGCGAGGTTTGGGTCGTCTGTATGTTAGTATCCGTTTGTGTCCGGCTAGCAGGTAGGGAAGGCAATGGCGCTACTTTCCCAGATCCAGTGACTTTAGTTTCACCGTCTTCCAACGCCAACGAAACGTGGTGTAGTAAGCAGACGTGCAAGCGGGTAGGCGTTGCTTAGAAGTGGAAAGGCTGAAGTTGTCAAAACTACGCCGCGTAAAAATTAAAGAAACTAAAAGTTTTGGAAAGATTAATAATAATTAAAAAAAGTTCGTTTCTCATTTTCTTTCTTGGGGGGGGGGGGGGGGGGAGGGGCATTTAGTCTAGAAAGATTGTCGGCGACTTGGGAAGTTTTTGCCGATCGTCAAAAATCGATACTTTGACAGCACCATATGCTTTACCCACAATTAAAGTAATTTTACATAGATATCTCCAATAGCTATTGTTTTCATTGAATTTTGACTATTTTTATGTTATAACTTGGTAATTAAAGATGCTGCGATTGGCATCAGTGATGATAATTCGCGCACTTTTGATTTCCACACTTGTTCGCACGTTTGAGGTTAGATCACGAACAACAAAATATATTAGAGCTTGAAGAACTACGTATTAAGATATCCCAATTGATTTAATATTATTATCAATACAAATGGCGGCAATATAGGCCCCAATAAACGGCCCAATTACAAAAATACGCAATTTAACCATAATAGACTAGAGGTTTTTTGTGCGACACAAGGGACAATCACAAGCGAGTAGACAGGGACAAGCGCAAAACTGCATCATGAACCAACTAGGCCAACAACAAGTTTTGATTAACCATAACAGACTTTCCAGAAAAGTAATATTTTGTTCTCTTGTTAGAATATGAAAAACTGACATCGTTATCAAGATACACAGACGGTCAAACACTGGATGTAATATAAAGTCCTAAGCGCCACGCGTTGGTTTAAAAAAAAACACACACACTGACGGCAGGGTTGATGCTAGATATTTTTCTGCTCCAATGAACTGCTGCCATCGCATCCCTCATATTTTTGCCTTACGCGTCTGTTTGTGTGAAGTCAAGTGATGAAGAGTCATAGCTGGTTGGTCCAGCTACTATTCAGCTTTCACAGCGCTGTCAGGGGTGAGCAGGGTTGAGGTCTCATTAGAGGTTCTTCTCTGTTTGCGGGGTGAGCGTGTGTAGGCAGAAACATCGACAAACAAAAATCGGCACAGAGTAAAAAAAAAAAAAAAAAGATTTGTTTTGGGGGGACAAGGCGTGGAGGGGTGGGGAGAGAAGGAGGAGGGTGGAGGAAATGTGGGGTGGTGGGGGGGCGGCGGCGGAGAGAGCCGACAAATGCACCACGGTCACTGTGTCCACGGTCCCCATCGACAGGAACCCTACTCGACGGCTTTACGCTTCATTAGTCTTCTGTTCTTTTGTACGCTCGAAGCACTCCGTTCGTTTTCTAAGAAGTCGAAGCCTGTTGCCTTTATGTAGAGAGTCGAATCCTCCCAGTCTGGTTGACCGTACTGACGAGTCCAGAAACGGGCTGTGGCTGGACTCTCGTGCTTTCCGTGAATTCCTTTCTTTTCCCTCACCAGCACTCTCTTCGCGAGCGAATCCCCGTCTTGTGTTACCATGCTAAAAGCGCTAAGGCCGTTGCATTGCCCTTCTTCCACCCTATTTGCCTATTTGACGGGGCGGAAGAATTGCAACGAGTAATTGCTATATTTCGTTACTAAAAAAGTAATGAGATTACCTTACAAATTACATTTTCAAGAAGTAACGGATTAATTACTAAAATACAAGAAAAAATTAATCACAAGTAATCCCGTTACTTGTAACGGATTACTTCCAAGTCTCCGTCAGGGCACGCGGCGTCGGAGGGGTCTTCGGCAAGTTGGCATCGGCCACGAAATCGACGAAGGTGACGACCCTGAGAGCGACTATGGCAGAGTAGTCTAGCGGTGGATTGTGTACTCCGCCGTCGACGTACAGCCTCTGGTTTACTGTCCGACCTCACCGTGCTAGGGTAGCCGGGAACCTCCGACAATTACACGTTAAATCATGAAATGCTTTTAAACTGAACCCTCCCAAAACCAAAATGTTGTCCATTCGTCCGCGCCTTTCCCGCTAAACTTATCGGGGAACTTAATTGGTGCGTAAAACACGTGACGTCAATTAATGCACACCAATTACGTTTCCCCGCCAAGGTTGGCGGGGAAATCGATGTCACGCGACCTGACGTGAGGCGACCTATGCGCCCATTCAGTTTCTCCGCTAAATTTGCTGAACAAGTTGGCGTCATGTTTCCCCCGCCAAGGTTAGCGGGGGAAATTGATGTGACGTGAGCTATGCACCTATCATTTTCCCGCTCCCCGCAGCGGAGAAATCCATAAAAATATGAACGTTCTTCCTTACTCCCCAACACGACGGTGTAATGTTTTCTAAACGATTTTGAACCAATGTCCCTGAAATATTGCAATTTATATAGATTCTAAAACGTTGGAAAAAAAAATAAAAATGTCGCTGCCAATTTCAAAGGTACTGAAAACTTGGGGTGCGGATTATTATATTTATGCCTTTTGCTTTGTGGTTGGTTCCTCGGCGTTCGTATCGACCAATGCCGGAATCTCAGTGGTTTGGAGCAATATTACGATGTTCGGGACTCGCCACACTCTGCTGCTCTCTGGCCGTCAGTGACTGCGAAAGCAGATCATGTTTTTAGCGAAAACGTTCTTGACTATTCTTAAATATAAGATTACGAAGTAATATAATGTATTCATTATAGCCGCAAGTAAACGAATAGAAAACAATATATAATACTTACATGGCGTTAGTTAACTAACGCCATATTAGTTAAACCAGAGAATAAAATCTGCGAGACAGAAATATTATTTGCCTTTCTGCAACACTACGTGCATCTTTTTAGACAAACGAGGAAGAAAAATATCAGCTCAGTCTTTTTTATCCCACATTTACTCGCTTAATTTAATCGTTTCACGGGTATAAGGCGTTGCTCCGACAGTATGGCAACAACTCTAATAATATTGGACATTCTACGCACGCGTATTAATTTTGCATTATTCATCTTATTTTGACACGCGCCTTGACGGCAATCAGTATGTCTTCGTGGTTTTGTGCAATCCATTTTCTTTTCTATAATAATACCCTCTTGTTTAGAATTGTCATATACACAATCTCGGGGATTAACATTATTTCGCCGCGAACCCTGGCTGCTAAGATGCAGTCCATTTCTCTGCTGTGCAACTCTGTCGGCTTGTCAGGCAGCGCGTGGACTCGCTAATTCAACGCCCATACGCGCGTTCGCTTTTCCAGTATGCGGGACGCGTTTTGCATGTTAAAGAGTGACGGTGGCACCTGATTGACCTCCGCAGCAATGTACGATATGCACCGGCAGTCAATAAACCCACGTTCCTTTCTTCCAATTGCAATAATAAAAAACAAAAAACAGAATGGGCACATTTTGTTGCAACATTTTTTTTTTTTACATTAGGACTCACAAAGCTGATCAGTGCGGGCAATTTTTTTCTCTCTCTTAATATTATTACCGCTGTATCCCTTGCAAGCAGTCTTGCACGCACTACAGAAAGAAAAGTCACAAAATCAGTTACTCGATACTTGTAAATAAAAGGAACGCGTTACAGATCTAAGCTACCCAAAAATAAAAGGAACACGTTACAGACCTAAGCTACCCAAAAATGAAAGGAACGCTTTACGTTCAAAAAGTAACACACGTTTGTTTGACGTTACTTTTTTGTTTATGAATTGAAACGTTTAACCGTTATGACGTTACAGGCATGCCTAAGCGCTGTATTTCAAGAAACAGTATGTCCATGTAGAAATAATAAAGTACAGTCACTTTCTCTCTCTCTCTCCATGCAGAAACTTAATATAATTAGCTTATCTTTTTTTTACGGTTCTGACTTCGAAGGTATGTGGGATGAGCGCAAAAATTCATATCACTTGGCGCCTAGAAACGTAAAATAAATGGAAGAGTAATTTTTAAAGTTCTGGGTAGAAGAGCGAGCGGGTAACGTATACCAAGGCTACCCGTTAATAGAAGTTACTAACGTACGTTGGTTATAAGTAACACCCATAATTCGAAAGAAGTATCACGTTACCGGTAACGCCATTGCTGGTAACGCGTTGCCTCCAACAGGGCTTGTAATCCTGTCTGCCTAATGTAAAGTAAAAAGAAAGTCGAGAATGTAAATTACGAATTTTGTGAGTTTCTGACTGTGACTGCGATTCGCTTGGCGAAAACGTGGGAATGAATTGTATCCAGGTGTCCAGTACAGTCAGGATGTGTCGTAATACGCCACATGCTGCGGCCTTCGACGCTACATACTCGTTCTCAATTCAAGAAGAAAGAAAAACAAGTTTTAGGCATTGCTCATGTGCCGGGCGAAGTAGCTCTTACAAGATTTGGCTGTCGAAGCAAGAAGCGATGTCTTTGGCGTTTGAAGCCTGTACGTCTTGATAAGATAACATATATATGTAATCTAATATGCACCTACATATATCTTAATTCTCTACATAAAAGGGGAAATTAGGAATGCTTCGTGAGGAGACGGAATATTTATACTAACAGTTCTTGAGAAGGCGAAAACGATTATAGAAGAGGTTCCTTTTTTGTTTCCATGTTCAGTTTCTTTTTCTCACACACTCGCAATGGAGGAGAATGCCCACTAGGGCAAACCTTGCCATTATATCTGTCTCGCGATTGTTTCCCTCTAGCGTAGCTGTTTATCCAGCCGAGGCGATGTTAACACTGTGCACGAAATATATTTAATTTCACGCGGACGACCTTGAGAACACGTGGCAAAGTTTCACGAAGAAAAGGAAATCGTCAAACCTGTATTGACCACGGACGGGAAAAGAGAAACCCGACCTGGGTACATATCGGTCGAGCCGGTTGCCCGGTCAACTTGCAACCGGACTTGCAATGAAAGCGCGAGGAAGCTGATATAAACATCGCATTTCCGCTCGCGTAGCAGTCTACCTGTTTTGCTCGCCGACGAAGCATGTCGTTCGTTCTCTCTCTGAGTGTGCTCTTGGCCTTGGGTAAGACTCGTCGACGCCTGCCAGTGGTCATTGGTTTAGTGGGCCGTGCCAGTTTAGAGAGAAAGTAGTTCTTTACAGAACCCGTATCCCGTGATTGAGGGTTGCCAGCCCATACGAGGCCTTTAATTTTAATGCGAACATAATTTTTTCAAGGGGTGTAAAAGACGAGTACCGTCTTCATTGTGTATATATGCGGTTCGGTGGACATAGAGGAGGAAATAGTACTTATGGTAGGTTGAATAATTAACTGAAATTTCTTGGGATGATTGCTTTTAGGGGTCATGTTTCAATTGCAATATTGACGTAAGTGACCGTTAGAGGCCAGATCAATTAAAATTATTTGTGCAAATTGAATGTTTTTTCCCGGATATTAATTAATACATTTTTTATGTCCTTTAGCCCGTTTTAAAAATTGCGCGCAAAAAGCACACCTCAAACCCTGTTGCTCACAATGACGCTTAGAAGAGCGACGTAGTCGTCTCGATCGCATCGTCATTCGTGTCATCTGCGTAGCCACCAAGAACACGCTGCGGAGATGGTGACGATACGATTGAAACGTCTACGTCCCTTTTCTAAGCGTCATATGGGCTCGCGGCACGCATTTTTTGCGCGCAGTTTGTTATCCGGGTAAAAACAAAAAAATTCGAAAATCCATAAATGAATATCTCAAAAACCATTACAGTCTAGCAAATATCTATTTTTTTTTAATATTGGATTCTCCGCTTAATGGTAATTGATCTTAATAAAGCAATTACAGCAGGACCCCTAAAACTAATTATAAAGTAAATTCGAAGGTTTTTACTTAATAAGCCAACTTACCATGATGAGCATACCCTCATCTAATGTCCGCCACGCCTGATAAATAAATACACGGTGAAAAAAGAAATCCCCTAAATCTCTCCCCTTTAAAAAAACAAAAAAAAACTGTTAGAATTAAAATAAAACGCCCCGTGTCGTTACTGACAGCTTAAAGAACGCGCAGTGCGTGGCTTATGACGTTCGTGCGTCTTGATTTGTCATTCCAGCTTCCGCATTCTTTATTGGTGTTAATGCCTTAGCTTCATTAGCTGCAAAGTGATAATAAGTTACTCTGAATCCCTGTGCATTTCTGAACCCTCTCAGTTTGACTGTTTCTCTATCGTTTGATATTTGGATCCTGGGTGTACCTTACTGTGGTATGCGGTCCAGCAGTTATAGCCTTTGTAATCGGCCCGGCAGCCTCCTCTGAAAATTCCAGTCATGGTTATTGAGAATATAACGACTTTGCAGCTCCAACTACTAAATATTTCACGAGTTTGTGATATATTTGATAAAATAAATTTAACTTGTCACGTTAAAAAAGTATTTTGGGGCATTCCTAGTTTAAATTTTCTTTCACTAAATCAAAGCTGAGAGTAACGTGTGAACTGCTTTTAACTATTCCTCACATCTTGTGCAGGGCCGCTTAAAAGTTGAGTTTGCACAGCACACTTTTCTTATTATTATACCGTGCAGAAGCGTTGTTAACCTCGTTTTATTGTCCCCCGCATTGTTGATATCTGGGTATACCAGCTTTTTCTTTCAAAACACTGACACCAAACCGACTAACACAAGTCGGTAAGAAGGCAAGTAAAATTCTGGTGATAAAATTGTCGACGTCAATCATATTTATGATCTTGCGTCTAAGAGTGAAGCTACCGGCGTTGTTAATGCGACAGAATGTAAAATCAGAGCAAAAGCAAACGTGATTAGAGCGATCGTTTTATGCTCTTTCATTTTAATAAACTTGAAGCTTGTTAAACTTTCGCAGTTGCAATGAAAAGGACGAAATATGTGGGCGAACACATATCGATATTTGCCACGTCATCGCACATCACCAATATCTGCCTAAGATGTCAAATTGCCATGTGCCCTTGTTTCAACCTGCTCTATTTTAATTGTTAGAATCTGTTATCTCATCACTAGGCTTGGAAGGATTGACAATTTTCATCCTCAATACTCTTTGTGATAGGATGCAATGATGTCACCAGCAGGTATATACACAACATCGGTTAGTCCGGTAAAGATGAATTACCATAAGGGGAGATGGAAACAACTATTAGAGCAGCTAGAAATGCCATATATGAAGGGTAGAATAAAGTTATCGTATATTACGTTGGACAACAAACTTTTTAATTCGGAAACTTCTTTTAAATCCGGGAGAGTAAAATGCGAGAAAGTGCAATCGAGTTTACCTACTTTGATGAGACGAAAAGATGCACTAATATATTTTGTTACGTTACACACGTTGAATAATGTGCTTGTGCCGATCGTCACTTTGTGTTCCAGTCTCCCACTTCAGGGTAGATGCTAAATTATTAATGGTTTATGACTATTATTTGTATAAAAATGAATTGTTTTTCAACTTTTACTATCCGGCATGATTCTGTGACTTGTGCTGCGTTCAGAACTGAAGTATTCGATACTTTTCGAGGACGCCCCAGAAGTTACAATTGTAAAAAATCATTCTCTTATTTATTCACGAGATATACCATAATGTGAGTTGCTTCAACTATGTCACATTTTATTTCAGTGCCCTTTACCCTACTCAACTGGCAAACAAAAAAACTGCGAACACAAAAACTGCAAAGAAACGTGCATATTGAAAGATTTACGGAAACTTCCTTCATTGCTGACCGTTTCTGTAGAATAGTTCGAACCACTCATTTTGATTGGATGGCTATATGCATTATCCGTTAACCATGAAGATTAGTTATTATAAATGGCTTCTGTGCCTATAAGCGAATAGAGGTTTTAATCCTGAGTTAACCTACTAGGTAAATATTTGGTTGGAGAAGCTCTTTAAGCACGTTAATTTACCCTACCAGGTGGAGTCGCTGTGGGGTCCAGTCAAACCTGCCAAGCGGTGAGTGTGCTCGTCAGATATATGGCGAATTGAGGAATAATGACGTTCCTGCCATTGAATAAGAAGTACATATTAAACTCTAATTGTCCAAGCGCGCAATCCGCACCTTGTGGTATGGGTACTGAAATAAACCATTATGGGTATTTAGAACAAATAAGCCTACGCATTGATTTGTTGACTAGAATATCTTAAAAAAAACCTCTGCTTCGAAACCGATACAGAAAGGGGTGGGATAAAAAACTAGACAAAGGATATTTTCTCATTCTTTGAGTCGTCGCAGACGAAAAAGAAATATACAAGAACTGCTCAATGAGCTTCCTCAAAAGTGAGCGGCCTTTATTTTACAGTCAGGGAAAAGAATGAGAGCACCGTTATCGAATTATTTATTATTCTGAAGATAAGAGGTATAACGATAATGATACATTATGATCAAAGACGCCGGCAGAGTATCGAGTGTAGTTATTGGAGTTATCGGCAAGGTCTACTAATACCCCTGTTACACGGGCACCCTTAACCAGGGCTATCTCAGCTTTATTAGCCGTTACGCGGCACCAAAGTTATCACACTATACTGTCGAACAGTTATTTCAGAAGTAGTGAAGAGTGTGCTGGCGCTGCTTTGATGGGTGCTCAAGATGCTCAAGCGCATGTTCACCAATAACATTGACTGTATTGCCGCAGAATGTTGTCCGCAAGTATTGTGCACTAACTGTGGCCTAGCCTAACTGCAGTTAAGTGTGCCCATGTAACAAAGGTACTAAACTTCCTTTTATTGGGAGCCAGTATTTAGTTTAAACCCGTTTTATTTGTAGAATGGCTCAAACACCCTTAAGAAGAACGCATTAAATGGGATACGCAACTATGGTTAAGCAAGTGCTGGAAATATGTTGTGTCCGAGGTGGTAGTGATTGCCTAAGTGCACGCCAATGCGAGCAGTAAGCATCGTTTTGAGTGCAATCACTAGTGCGCCTTTTAAGTTTGTAGTGTACTGGCTGAATTGCCTATATACAGCAGAGACGTCATGATTCAATCCGACAAACTTCCTGTTGTCCAAAAATATTTCTAAAACATGCTTGACTTCCTTTCATTTTGCTTCATTTTGTTTAGTGCTTATAAGAAAATTTTGATTCCGTGTCTTATCATCTTATACATATATATGAAAAAAAAAAGTATAACCATGGGATGGTAACTTTTAAATATACATCTACCTGAGTGATTTACTTTTCTGTCCTGTAACATTGCACGAATTTGTTTGCAGGATTCGAATTGTTCCCGTGGGCAGAGATGCGTTTCTCACTTCAACTTCGCAAGTTCTGCGAACTGTGAAGAATCCCGTTATTGTGAGTACATTTCATCATCTTACGGGACGTTTGCGAGTAAAGCAGACCTTGTTGCTCGCTCCGCAATAGTAAAGTTTTTCCCACTTTCCCAAAATGCACCACAAGCCCTTTAGACAAGGTATGAACTTCACGTGTGAGAAGATTTGAAATACTTTCTGCACATTTGTAATGTAGCAATGTAGCCGGCTTTGGAAACATGTATTACTTCGCGCGTGCGGACGATTGCGAAAAAAGCCACTGGCCGCCGCCATGTCTTTGCTCGTGCGGACATGCGCGTGCAATTTTAAGCTTGCCATGGCTATGTTCACGCGCAAACTGCACGGGCTTTCACTCATGGGGTACCCAGTCGAGGCGCCACGCTTGCAATAGACCTTTTGCCGAATTACACAAGCATCCAAAAGAATGCGGTGTGTGTAGGTACACGAGCTGCGCGTGCTGGCATAGTCAGCTCTCACTGTTCGAAAGCAAAAATCTAAAACAAATGACACTTCGCACACGCGTTGAACGGACGCTTTATTTTGTTTATTTACTTCGAACCATTTTGTATAGGGAGTATTCACTGGCGGCCATAGCTGTGTGCGCGACTGCTGAGCGCGTGCTGATGGCGAGCTTCCACAGCTCTTTTGTAACGTACATTCTGCGCCCTCAAGATTGCCGGCCTTAGCAGCCTATTAAAGTGGGCTCGTTCTGAGCATGGGTTCTGAACAGCACCCACAAATATGGCGCCCAGTGAATGCTCCTTATAGGGAAGGCGAGCACGTGCAACACGTGTACCTACGTTCCCAATATTGTTTTTGATGCTTGGGTAATTTAGCGAAATGTCTAATATCTTTACTCAAGAGCGTCGATCATTGCTGCAATTGTTTTCTAGAAAAAATTACAAATTGCGTTTAAACTTTGTGATCAAACTATCTAACGTTACAGCACCCAAAAATGCGTACTTTATCTACATAATAAAGTTAAAAAAAAAAAAACACGCAAGAATTTCTTTTCTTGCTAGCAATATTTCTGCTAAACACAATGTTTGATTTGGTATAAGATAAAAAAAACGAGGTTTTTAATAGCATTTTTTTTTTGCGAGAACACTTTAGGTAGAGAGCTCGAAGAAACTATATGGTCAAGAATGACAAATGATTAGGCGGATAATAACTGGGGAAACTAAGCGTTTGATGGGGCGAGCCTGTGCTTAAAACGAAATAGAAAAATGTCAGCGTCGCAGTCGTCGATGTCGGCAAACCAGCACGATTGATCGCTGAGGAGAGACTGACTCCGGCTCGCCAAGTGGAGTCCCTTATGTGCAGTACACGCGTCGGCTTTCGGATCAATCAGGGTAGGAGGTTCGGCGCGTGGAACATACGGAGCTTGAACAAGCGACCGTGTTTTACGAATTTACCACAGTGCGACATTTACAGAAAAGAACAAAAGGTGCGTCCGCGCCCAGGCATCGAACCTTTCCCCATTGCGTGGGAGTTCAGCACGATAACCATTTGTTCGGCCACGGGGACTTTTTGTGTTATATCCTTATTCGGAATACAGACACATGGATACATGAGTTTGCACATTACTTACACTTTTAAAATGATGAAGGCCAGTGCTTATGGGCGGGTGGTGATTCAAATTCTTTCATGCGTGTGAGGATATCAAACACTCCAATCGACTCAGGCGGGTTGTCGCTCTGTTCATAAGCACTCTTTACCTGCGCAACATAATCAATAAAAGAAATACGCGCTGACTTGGGGAAATGCTCTGCGTGTATCACCGCCATCCGCGACTTCCACAGGCTAAACCCGAAAACCATAATCATGTCTAGCGGAAGGTTCTCGTTTGCCCCGATGGGTAGAAAACGGATAAAATGGGGTAATAAGCACAGGTCGTTTTTCAAAGTTCGTTGCAGAATATCGCTTCCCCCCCCCCCCCCCCCCCCCTCAAAAAAAGAAAAAAGAAAAAAAAAGAACACTGCTTTTTAGCAGTACAGAAAACTAAGTTCGATAGTTTCGGGAACCTTGCACAGTGGGCAGTTAACACGCCCTCGTTCGGCCACGGGTATGCTTACTCGGAGACGCGCGTGGCATTATTACTTCATTTCACAACGTTAACACCGTTTTTATTCGTGTGGAACACTTGATATGCTTTACTAAAACGATTTTGTATCTGCATTTATTTAGGTATCCCCGTAACCAGTGGATCATGCACGGTAAGTCGGCCTTTTTTTTTTTTTTTTTTTTCATTGACATTTGAACCAATAGGGCAAGTTTCTTACTATACAAGTGGGCATTCAAAAATAGAGCTAGAAGTGTGTTCGTCAGAAAAACAAACCGCGTTCTTAACTCTGCATAGCTTTGCATTCCGCGCTTTAAGTCTGCCCTTGAGTCCATTTCTCGTGGAGCACACAGGGAGCCAACGACTACAACCTGGAGCGTTCGACTCGTCCAACACGAAGCTGAAGCCGAAGTTCACGGAAACCGCGCCGATTGGACTCTTGCGACAGCGGTGTGACGTCATCGTCGCAAGAGCCCAGTCGGTGCGTTCCCTGAACTTTGTCGAGCACTCGGTGGCTCCCAGAAGGATCCAGACCGATCGTGCTTATGGGAACGACAAAGCCTCAGGAGCACAAAATCGAATGCTTTTCACGCGCTAGCATTAATACCCACGTGCCAGCGAAACGCTGAGCGGTCCGTCTGGGGACAAAACACTGGAAAGGAAAGCGCGCCGCGTAAAGGGGAGGAGCCAAGTGAAGGACAAAGGGGAGGGGGAGGCGACGTCACGGGGTGGAAGCCAATGCGCGCGCGGGAAACCGGTGAACGGCGAAAGGAGCGTCAGGCAGTGGATGCCGCTGCTAAGCGTGCAAGGCAGGCGAACGAGGTAGAGGAGAGGAAGCAGCGCCTAGCTCGGCTAGCTGGCCAAAATGCGGCGCAAGAAACGGCAAGGCGACGTGGGTCTGAGCGCGACTGATGCTGGGACGAAGCCGGCTCGGCGAGCCCGCTCCGCCGGATAAGGTTAAAGGGACATTCATTGGTAGATCCTTAGGGAATGCGTTAGCATGACCCTTGGGAAACGCCAGACACGTCCCCCTTTGGAGGAATCTAACACTGACCTTGTAGCGAATCCAAGCGATAAAAAAGTGGTTTGAACAAAGTGCCACTATTGCCTGTGACAGGTTATACATTCAGTAGACGTTTCGCCCGCAGCGCGAGCTTTCTTCTTTGATTAGAATTCGCCGCTCGTGTACTCAAAGGCCTGCGGGAAGACAGTGAATACGTGTTGAAAGCGGAGCTTTTAATACATTTTTGGCCTGTCCCCGACTATGGTTATTGGAAGCACACCCCGTTAATATCCGAGTATTCAACTTGCCATTCTAATTAAATACTTAAAACAATGTTGCTAAATCGAGCAAAATAAATAACTAAAGGCTGGTTCACACAGTCCGATTTTTCTTACGTTACGGTACGGAAGCTTGCCTGTACTTGCGCACAGGTCGCCAGGACAAATGTGCTTCATATTAGGCGTTGCTACCAGTTCATGAAGAGAGCCTTTCACGCGACATTTGAGACACGAATGTTTCGGTGACATATCCGTAACGAAAGAATATGTAAAGAAACGGAGCTGTGTGAACCAGCCTTAACTTTGGCACTGTCATCTACCCACCAGCATTACACCACAGTCAAATCAATGTAAAATTTTGGGGTTTTTCGTGTGTAACCAACGAAGGACTTTGGCATGCCCCAGCGGTGGACTGAGGATTAATTTAAACCACCTGCGTATTTTTAACGCGAGAGCGTTAAGGACTTCGTGTCGCACCGGCCTCGGTGGCGTCGCAGAAAAGTCGGTGTCGGTGGCGTGCCGCGAAAATTCTGATTGGCCGATAGGGTCATGACGCCACAGCCAGATGACCTCGCGCGTGAATTTAAAACAACCTACGACGCTCACGTGGAACGTTATGCCACGAGTGGAATGAAAGTTATTAAAAAAACATGGCATGAAACGCGAATTAAAGGTCGCCGCATGTCTCAATATATTTCACTTTATAAATTAATTCATTCGGCTTAAAAAAATTTTAATGAATTTTAGGCGGGATTCGATCCCCCGACCCTTCGGTTGCGAGCCACACCCACTACTGTCTACGTTGCGCAATTCAGGCTTGCAGAGCGGATGAAAAGGCGATGCGAACGGGACCCGATAACGCTCGCGTTCCACTCTTAAAGGTACCATGAGGAGGTTTTTGAGATTGCCCAAACATGGCGATAACTCCCTCTGCGGGCTCTAAGCATCTTGCGGGCACCAAGCATCCGATTTCCCCATTAAAAATGAAATCAAAGATCGAACGCACCAAGGTCATCTCCTGCGACGGGAGGAGCATTGTACCGGGAGCCAGGACCACTGTCAGCCAATAGCAAGATAAAAAAACCTCGCGCCTCCTACCGGTAGAACCGGGGAGCGATAACTCGAATTCGCGCGGCTCGTTGCCCATTTGCTTCGAGAAGTATGGGTATCTCCGCCTAATGGGCTTTTGTCAACCCCCGAGTGAGGATACTTCAACTTCCTCTGCTGGTGCAAGCTCGTGCAATGACAAGCTTCTATGCACTATGAAGGTAACAGAATTGCGTGGATTGCACGTGCTCTACCCATAGTTAGGAAAGCAAAAACGCCCCCAGCGAGCTTCTCGCTGCAAATTCATCCCGGACCTTCGGCGAGGGTCGTACTGGCATAGCAGGGTGATTTCAGATAAGATCGACCAAAGGATGGCTAGTCTACATTTTCAAATCAACTGATGTTTTTATATGTTATTGTCTAGTGTCTGGTATGAACGAATCCAAACTTAGTTTTGACTAGAAAAAATACTTGGGGACAGGAAAAATCGTAAGGCATGAGGTGGTGGACAGTTGCATTAACGCGCACTGATGGAGGGGGCCCGTTTGAGAGTGAATAACTAAAGCGATAAGATTAGGAGAACTCTAATACGTTTTAGGCGCACACTATGGGTATAGCTTGCTTGTAATATAAAGTAATCATATTTATTTAAAATTTATTTATTTTTCTAAAAATAACCAAACATGCCTGCTCGAACGACAAATGGCAAACTTTGGAGGTCTGTATCTCATGAAATAATTTAATCATTATGATATAATTTGCAGATATTATTCTAATAATATATAGCTAATATTTAAAAAATAACTAAGGTATCTGTGTAATACAATAGTTAGGATATATTTCGTCAAACATGGAAAAAAAATCAAACAAAGAAAAATTCCGATGCGAATACAAAAAAACACCACCCTCGATTTTTTTTTAAATTTGGGTAACCTGTTATACTCTATTTCGGCATTCATTTCCATTAAAAACATGTTGCATCATTTTATTGAGAACGAAGATACAACTCCCCAAAGTAGGGTCCTTTTTCAAAGCCTACACTTAGCAGCGTTTTATACAAGAACTGACTCTGAGTTCCAGTTTCATGAAACCAACACACATCTTTTATATATTTTTATTCAGATGAGGCCAATGATAACTAAAGAAATCGTTCACACACTTAAATTAAGGAGAAACTACTGTGTACACAGAGGTATCATATTACGGACTAGTGATCCGAGAAAAGATCATGCAGCCATCGGCCACTAGGAACTTTGTTTACTTTATTCTCCTGCGACACTATATGCTATTCCCTCTTCCGCTCTACCTTCATCTCTCTCTCTCTCTCTCTCATATATATCCCTGATATATATCCAGAACAAAAACATGTTCAAGCATTCCCTTTCTGCGTGGTAGTGTTCTGTGGCTAGCAAAAATCATTTCCTCGCTAAGCT